CCTCCCTCCCTCCTCCCCTCCCCCCCTTCCCCAGGCCCTGGAGCGCGTCGAGTCTGCCCTACTGGGCGGCTTCTATTTCAACCATTTCCGGCTGGCTGTCAACGTGATTGGGGGGGAGGCCAGAGGCACCATGAACCGGGCAGTGGCAGCTCTGCAGAGCACGTATGAGAGAAGTGTCTTCCCCTCCTTGGACAAGACACGCTCCGTGATGGGCAGGCGGGTGGACCGGCGGCTGAGTCACTTGAAAGGGAGGATCATGAGTGAGATTATGGATGCGCAGACTCGGGAATGAGGCCGCGAAAGGAGGTGGCGGAGGCACCTTCTGAGAAGTCTGGGTCGTTGTCAAGTTATAACGGGGAGCTTTGTTGGCCGCGAGAGTTTCTTGGGGCGAAGAAGATCCTTCCCTCTGGCGTTGAGAAGAAGAAAGGTGTAAAAACGAGACACATCGCGGGAGCGCGAGATTGAGGGATGGATGTAGCGTAAAATGAAGGCGGGAGTGTTGTAAAGCTGTTGTTTATATACCATTCCAAGCCAAGACATCAAGGCTGTACATAATACGAGATCATACGAGGCAATGGGAAGGTGACGGACAAAACAAAGATCTAAATAGGAAGAAGTCAGTGACACCATATACAAATCGAAATTTGCCAAGAAGTTGCATCTTGGTCATTGAAAAGGTGTCGAGAAGAAAACACCGTGAGGAAAGCCGTACACCTGCCACTTGAATTACGTCCTCAATGTGGGCTTGATTCCATGTGTGGGAATGACTGTGTATTGGAATCCCTCACCTGAGTCAAAACTCGCGAAAGTATTATAACGATAAATTTGCTTTGTTTCTTGCCTGATGGACTTCTTGTGGCACATTTTAAAAGTATCAATTCATGTCCGTTTCGGGACCATGTGGAGCTCAATAGAAAATGTGGCAGAGAATTTAAGATTTGCTTGTGTGCATTAACGAGGACTTCTTCCTTCATTTATACCGACAATAAATAACGTAACACAGTGATTGGTACCATGCACATGTCGTCCCCCGCATACTTCCACGTACCCACTGCCTGGAAGCCATTGCAAATGAAAATTTTGTTCAGTCACCATATTCAGTAAAATTAAACTCCCATGCCCTTGTATACATCACCCGTCAATGTTACCTGTCCTCTATTCAACGGAGGAGCGCGTCTTTGCTGCGAGGCGAATGACACAAATCCTGATTTCCCGCTAGCACGGGTGTTGCTCGAGAGGGCGGCAATGCTTCACTAGTCGAGCCGGGCATTGGTCGCATTTGGGCACGCCATTGCCCTGAACACAGGGCCGGGTCCACGGAGGTGTTATACATCCTCAAAGGTTTGGACGGGACGGGACGTGGGAACATGCGTGCTTTGACTTGCTGAGCTAGATGCGAGAGAGACAATCAAGGTAGATGGCGTTTGCTTCCCTTCATCGTCAGGAAAGGGAACACAAGTCCTCCCACCTGATACTTTCCTGAAAGCGAGCTCAAAGAAACGGCAGTATACGACAGGGACTACGACCGTGGATTGTTTTATGCATGGCAGCGTTGTATTATAGTAGAGCGTTGACCATGCGCGCCGTCTTGGCGTTTTGTGGTGGCAGGCTCTGCTGTTGCCCAATCGGAAGGATGAAGCGAACCCTGAGAGCCCCACTACAAGTTCAATAACCACGACCACGACCTCTGCTGTCCTTGTCCAACCTTGACTTAATAATGTATATGGCACCACACACAGAGAGCAGGAGAAAAGGTACGAGGAGCTAGGACATGAGCCACCGGCCTTATAAATCCATTGGAGGGGTGCTCGACCTCGGGGAGGACGCGGGGCGCAGGAGCTCGATGGGGCCAAGCCGCAGCATTGCCACTCCCTCGCAGCCCCTCACCACCAGCGGCTCGTCGACAATGTCCACCTCCTCGTCTTCTCCCCCGACGCCTGTGGACTACGTGGCAGCCAAGGTGTTCAGCACGAGTTACTGCCCCTCCTTGGCCCGTTACCACTCGCAAACCTTGACGATGCGGGCGGTGAACAACGAGGGCTCGCTGGATGTGTTGCGCGAGGAGGCGGGCGAGATGGTGTGGGAGACACGGTACTGCATTCTGAACGAAGGCGTGTTAAGGGTGTACGCGACGGAGCAAGACGGAACAGGAAAGAAGGAAAGGAGGCTACAAGGGGAGGAGGCGATGGGAAGCTTGTGGGGAGGGCGAGGGGAAAGGGCTGTGGAGCAAGAAGAAGAGGAACGGGAAGGGGAGGGCGGTTTGTTGACTGTGATTCCACTCGACATGGTCGCCTCGGTTCGCAGCGCCGCTTATTCGGGGCGTGCTGCCTTTCAAATCACGACGCCGGAGCGGACCTGGGTGTTCTCCGCTGCCAGCATGCAC